AATTAGTATGGTTACGAAACAATAAAGAAATTCCTAAAAATCCAGATTTTCGTCATGAACATGACAAAAATATATTCAAATTAATTGTTACTGCAGTGTGAATATTTGAAAAGATTTTTAAAAATAATTTATTAAATTAAATTTATATAGATTTCCTGGTGATTCAGGTGTATTTTCAGCTTTATTAAAAAGCAAATCAATAAGTAATGAACAACTTTCCTCTTGTTCAGTTATTATTCAAGGTAAAATAAAAATATATTTAAAATATTTCATAAATCAAAAATCTTTTTTTAAGCTCGTGATAAAGAACCACTCGATCCTGGTTTTGTTCAATTTCCACAAAGTATTAGTTTAGAAAAAGGTGGAAAAGCTAAATTTAATTGTAAAATATCAGGATCAACACGAATGACAGGTAAAAAGAATTTTTTTTTATAAATTATCTTTTCCTTTTTTTTAATAGCCCAATAGAATTTTAATGGTAAATCACTTGATCATGAATGAAATCGATTTATATTAACAAATGAGCAAACAGAATTTTCACTTGAAATTCCTGTTGTTTTATCAATAGATCAAGGCCAATATTCTGTAATTATTTCAAATGATAAAGGACAAATTACAGCTGCATATAGTTTACATGTTGATCAATCATAAAAATTCAATCAATCGAACAAATAAAGTGTTAGACTAATCTGCAGTTTGTTTGATTACAGGATCTTGTCTTTTTCTTCTCTATTTGTTAATTCTTTTTTTCTTTTATCTTCATTTATTTTCTTGAACATCATTATCATAAAACAACGTTCAATAAACATCTGAAATTCTAAATAGAGTATTTGGATCTTGATAAGCAGCATAGACTAGGACATCTCGTGCTTTTTTTGGAATTAAATAAACAAAACCGGATAGAAAATTCAGCTAATTAGGACATACAAATTCATCTACTGTAGTAACATCAGGAGCTCCAATCGTTGAATCGTACCCGGTCGTCAGCAAATTTTGAGTCGCGAATCCGATCCGCACCGGCTCGAGTCCGAGCCTGGAACCAACCCAACAGACTCTACTCTCTTGCCATGTAACTATTATCTGGAAAATCAATCATTTCTTCATTGATAATCATGATTGTGGAATACACGTCATTTTCTTGTTTTATTGCAAAAGTGTATTAGAAAAGTAATGTTATAATTGAGGAAAATATGAATGAAAATTTTCTGGACGAACAAAAGATTTATCTGTAACAAGAGTTTTCAACTGTGTAAAATTGAGACGTGTTGGATCATTGGTGAAATTGTTTGTTATCATAACTAATGATTCATATTGGATTGTGAGATGTAACAAGCAAGGCAAAAGAGTCTTTCTTTCGGAGAGAAATTGTTCAACATAATTAATGTGTGCCAATTCAAGATTGAGAACAGCAAGATGAGGAAATGTAATGAATGTAAACGAATATTTTTTATATTTCTGTGGTTTATCATTCTGTATCGATAATGTTTGAAGAAAAGGAAAAGATTGTGAGATAATTTGGAAAAATTCATGTTCAAAAGGGCGTATCTCATCAATGATTATCACCGATCGAACTTTATTAAATATGTCACCTTTAAAAGAATTAGTCACATTATGAAACATGTGAAATTGATATGGAAGTGAATAAATATGACATCGAGCTCTAATTTTCATTGTATTATCATCAGCATATGAACCAATTTGTTGATATCTTCTTTCGATAAAACTACGTTGAATATCATCGTTTGAAGGAAGAATAATATTGCTCTTTCTGTTGCAAACAAGAGTAGTTATACTGAAAGTAAATTTGTTTAGTCGTGGCATATGAATGAGAATTTCATCATTTAAATGAATGCCATCGATATAAGTCGAATTAATTCTTTTCACGAAAAGAAATAATGTTAATTCTTCGAGATTTGACATTCGACGAAATAATGGAACAAGCTCATGATAATAAGATGTTGTTGAAATCGAAGTTAATGACAAGTATTTCAATTTTGTAATTTTTTTCTATAAAGAAAAACATCATTTTTAGTCTGATATAATCAAAAGTATCTTTACCGTAGTATCTATATTCGATAATAGAGGTCTAATTTTTTCTATATCAATAATTAATGTCGATAAACAATCGAAACGTCCATCAAGAATATAAAGACAGTCGTCGAGAGTATTGACATCAATTTTCAACTTAGTTAAAGTTGACGATACACAATTTGTTGAAAATAGAGTAAAAAGTGAATTTATTGAAGCGTCTCGAAGACATTGTACAAAAGTGAAATCAATTAAATATTTGGCAAATGACAATATCAATGCAAACAAAGTCGGTTCATATATATCAAATAATTCAATTGTTCTGAACTCGGTCTTCAGATTAAAATGAGTAATTTGTTTATTGAGAAGACGAATAAGTATTGTATCACCTTAAACATACAAGAAATCGTTTCATCAAATTATACAGAATTCTGAATCGCTTGCCTATTAAATAGTTTAAAATGGTTTCCGGTTGACAAAAGACAAGTGATAATGAATAAAGTTGGGGATAATCTACAACATATAGGACACGTTCTATTGAAAGTTGTCCAAGAATAAGTTTGTTTATTTGATGATGAATTCGAGGTAAGATACTTGTACAAAACCGATCGAGAGACTGATGATATTCCTGAGATTTATCATTAGCTGTAAAATCAAGATCACGTATGTAATTAGAATCAAGTGCTAATCTATCAAATCGTTGATTTACATCCACAAGTGAATAGAGTATATTAATATTATTCAGTTTGTTTAAAATACAAAGTAAAATTTCGTCAGGAAAGTCGAGTATATTCATATCTAACCGTAGTGCGACTGTCTCTTTGTCTCGGAACAAGTGCAGAACGAGAACACTATCAATATAGATATACAAAGAAAGAATGAAAAACAAAAAGATTGGCAGAGAAGCTCATCACTAATGAACGAATAAGAGAGTGTTCAAAAAAGACGTCCTCTATCCAAACAGGATGTCATATGTGAACGAATGAGTTAAATCGAACAGTACACATGGGAAATGAGCCCTTTAATCTGAAAAAATGAAAAGAAAAAAAGAGAAACGGTCGTTCTAAATATATGAAAGATTTATCTAATAACTGATAGAAAACAATATATACTTTCTATTAATAATATCATAGTTTCTGTTGTATCTCGGGGGAGGGTGTATATACGGTGTTCAGAAAGTAACTCTACAAGGACAAGTTTAAATGCATATCTTCGCCATATTTTAACCAAATGACCTGATATTTTTATCAATGATAAAGGAGTATGCCTAGATCATATTCAAAACGGAAAAATCGCCAAAAATTATTTTGAAGTAGTACAACTAACTTCAACAAAAAATGTAACCTTTGATGAGTGACGGAAAAAAGGATATATTTATTCGCTTACCTAAGAATAAATGACATCTAATTTTTTTTGGATTACTTCTTCACACTAGTGTCGTCTGGTCTCATACTTATGCTACAGATATATGCATTGTTACTCAGTGTACTCTGAAAGTTTCAGCCATTGACAACTACAATATTTGTTTTTCATAACTCGTGAAAGGTAACAGTTTTCGTTGAAGTTTGTTGTACTACTTCAAAATAATTTTTGACAAAGTTTCCCTTATGAATATGATCTATGCATACTCCTTTATCAATGATAAACATATAAGATCATTTGGTCAAAATATGGCGGATATACTCATTTAAATATTTCTTTGTTGAGTTACTTTCTGGACACCCTCTATAAGATAATATCGTGACTATGCCCACATTACAAACATTTTTGAACGAAGACTATTCAGTACGAATTGAAGTCGATATGGATAATAATACAAAGATATTTGTTGATGACGAAGACCTCGATACAATGAATCTTAGAAGACTTCATTCATTAACAGATATACATTTTGATACAATACAATTTTTTCAACATTTAAAACTTTTACCAATCCAATCAAGTGAATCTTGTAAACAGAGCTGTAGTGATTAGTACCTAGCTTACCTGCACAATACAGAAGAAGTAGGTACGCTTCTGACATATACAGTCAAAGACAAAAGTTTAAACGAAAATGTATTTTTGATTTTTTCTATAATAGCAAGCATCTAACTGAAATCCAAATAGTGATTCGGATAGCCAATGAAGAGCTCTATCAAATGTATCCTATAACAAAATTTCATAGATGATTTAAGGTAGCAAGATTTCTAGAAAACCCCAAACTGTATTTTTCAGATCTCAGAAGACTTTGTAATAATTCGTTTCTAACAGTACCAACTTAAACGACACAAAATTCTGAAGAAAATGAAGGGTCGCCGCCTTTCCTACGACTTTCCTTTCAAAACTTATAAGCATTACAAAAACTGGAAAAAGTGAAATATATCAAGAAACCGGTCACCGATCAATTTGTTCCACGACAATTCGTCGCAAAACAATTCGTCGCACATGTATTGTAGGGAATACATTGATTGAATTAAGTAATTTAGTTTAAAATGTTATACAATTAATCGCCTTAAAAAAAATTTTGTTTAGACTCATAAGAATCTTTTTTCATAATACAATGATTTTCTCAAAATTAAAATAGAGATA